TTTTTTTTTTTTTTAGTGAGAAAGTATTACTTTTATAAACAGAAAAACCTGGGTTTTTTTTTCCATTGATTACCTATTAAATTATAAAAAAGAATATTCACTGTGGCATTGTTTGGGTATAACAATAACTAAGACTGGGGAGGGATCAAGACGGTGATGAGTAACAGCTGCTTTGCAACCAGGCACGGTGGGACTGGGGAGAGAAGACACCAGGCATCTTCTGGGCTCTGCCCAGAAACATCCCTTCGGTGACTCAGGGAGATAGCGAGAGACTTTTGGACCCCAGGAGGAGGACGAAACAGTGGAGAAGGGGCAAGTGGTTACGCTCACTGGATCTGAGGCCGTGGCTACTGCAGATGTAACAACAGCAGTGAGACTGCCAACAGGGAAGGCCATCCCTGTGGGTTGTTTTGTTTTTTTGGACTTGGGCACTCGGTTGAACTACCTTGGGAGAACTTGAACGATAGTGCAGATGACTTTAAGTGTTGTCTAGGGCCCTGGATTGAGCTGCTGATCTGGAACAGCGCTAATATTGTTGGGCTGTGGGCCGTGCATGAAGCCATCGTGGAAGAACTGCCTCTGCCAGCTCCGCCCTCAGGGTTGCAGAGCAAGCTCAGGCTGGGAGACCTCAGGCAAGTGATCTAGTGACTGAGCAGCACCGAAGGCCGGGATTGAGATGCTGGGGAAGAGCAGAGCGTTCAGTGTTTGGCAGTAGAAAGGCTGTCTTGAAACCTTGGCCCTCAGGGGCATAAAGTGAAGCTGGTTTGGGTGCACTGGACAAGCAGGCAGCCACTTCAGGAGAGATCCCAGCAACAAGTGCCTTTCTGGGAAAGCTTCTGCTTGGTCAAGGTTATCAGTTTTATGTAGGCTGAGGAGAGATTTAGGCTCTCAACCCTGCGAGGTTTGAGAAATCAGCAGAGGCCTCAGTCTCCATCTCATACAGCCATATCAGCATTGTGATTAATATCTCATACCCCAGAAGATCACCTGTTGCCCAGACAATATTCAGCAAGATATATATACTGCTTCTGTTTTGCTTTTTGGTTGTTTGTATGTTTTTTAATTTCAACATTTTCCCTCTAGATTTTTCTTTTTTGCTTTTCTTTCTTCATTTTTCTAATTTAAATATAATTTTTCATTCTTGCCGTTTCTAATAATAACTTCATTTTTGCTAGTGTTTCTGCCCCCATTATTTGGGTTTTCCCCCAATTTATCCTGTAAGGTTTTTTGTTTGTTTGTTTTGGTTTGATTTACAATATTTTTGTCTTTCCTCTCTATTTGGTGGAGGTGGGTGCTATATCTGCTCAGGTTTTATCTGTTCATCTTATAACAAAGAGCTCCCGACTTCAAGGGAACCACCCACCCCAGCACTCCCAGAAGCTGGGTTTTTATTTATTTTTTTTTTGCAGTTTTTGGCCGGGGCTGGGTTTGAACCTGTCACCTCCAGCATATGGGACCAGCGCCCTACCCTTTTGAGCCACAGGCGCCCCCAACGTTGGGGGTTTTTAGGGTCAATTACTTCTGTCTCCTTCTTTCTGTGCCTCTCTTCTTTTTGTCAATATTCTCTTTTACTTACCGCCTTTCCTTTCTCTTGTTTTTTTTACATATTCTTTCCCTTCTTCCTTTTCAATCTTCTCATCCTTTTGGTCCTGTACCAAAAGGACTCATCAAAATCTTAGGCCAGAGGCACAGTGACTTAAAGAGCAGAGGAAGTGAAAGGAAAATTAGGGCAAGGAAACAGATAAAAGAAAACACTCGGCTTGGCACCTGTAGCTCAGAGGCTAGGGTGCCAGCCATATACACTAGAGCTGCGGGTTCGGGGCCTGCTTAACAACGACAACTCTAACAAAAAAACAGCCCGGACTTGTAGTGGGCACCTGTAGTCCCACCTACTTGGGAGGCTGAGGCAAGAGAAATCACTTGAGCCCAAGAGTTTGAGATTGCTGTGAGCTGTGACACCATGGCACTCTACTGAGGGCAACATGGTGAGACTCTGTCTCAAAAACAAGGAAACCTATAGTCCCAGCTACTTGGGAGGCTGAGGCAAGAGAATGACCTAAGCCCAGGAGTTGGAGGTTGCTATGAGCTGTGACACCAAGGCACTCTACCAAAGTGAGACTTTGTCTCTAAAAAAAAAAGAAAAAGAAAGAAAAAGAAAATACTCATGAGGAAGAATCAGCAGAAAAATCCTGGCAACATGAAAACCAGTCCAGAACAACCCCCCAAGGGACCATGAGGTAGCTACTGCAGAGGATTCCACCTATAAAGAAATGTTAGAAATGACAGAAGGAGAATTTAAAATACAGATGATGAAAACAATGAAGGAAATTGCTGAGAAAGTGGAAAATAACCAAAAGGAAATCCAAAAATAGAATCAAATAAGAAATGAATGATATGAAGAATGCAGAAAGGATATAGTGTGCTGAAGAAGTTAAAGCAGACAAGGGAACTTAAAGATGCAACAGAAAGTATCAACAGCAGATCAGACCATGCAGAAGAAAGGATCTCAGAGGTAGAGGACAAAACTCTTGAGATAACTCAGATAGTTAAAGATGGAGAAAAAAGGCTCGGCGCCTATAGCTCAACCGGCTAAGGCGCCAGCCACGTACATCTAAGGTGGCGGGTTCGAATCCCCAGCCCGGACCCGCCGAACAACAATGACGGCTGCAACCAAAAAATAGCCGGGCGTTGTGGCAGGCGCCTGTG